CCCCCCCCCCCCCCCCCCAAGAATCCAAATTAAAACATCCTAGATAGATGACTCTCCAGTTTTTGCAAAAACAAATCCAGGCAAGAGAGCCCACCACCTTTTGGTGTATTATATTTTCCTGTTCGGGGAGGGTTCCCCCCGCCCCCAATATTCAATCAGAATCTGCCTTCTTCTAAGTTAAACCCATTATTCCGTCTCTTTCACTCCAGGGTGAGAGAGAAAAGGATTTGTTCTCCTTCTGTGTGACAAACTTCCAGGTCCTTGAAGATAGTGATCCTATCTCCTCTTAATCTTCTCTTCTCATTCCCAATTCTTCAATCTTTCTTTAGAAGATTTTGCTTCTAGTTCCCCCATCCTTCCTTCCTTTGAACCTGGATCCGTTTCTCTGAATCCTTCTTAAAGGTCTGGTTCTCTAGAACAGGACATCCTTGTTAAGGAAGGGCCTGAGAAACACAGTAAAAAGTGAGCTGTTCCTTCCTGTGATTTGATGCAGCTGAGGACTGCATTTGCCTTTTCTGCAGTCACATCATGTAACTGGCTCAGCACGTTCAAACCCTGTACCATTTCTTCTCAGTTGCTGAACATATGCGGTCATTTCAGTTGCCTTTTCTTGCACCTTTTCAAGCTGATAGGTTGTGTGTGTGTGTGTTGAGGGGTACAAAGCATGGAATTGGACACAACATTCTAAGAGTGACTACAACACAGATAAAACCATGAAGACACTGAAGGGATTATTTTCAGTTCCTTCCCCATTGCTTCACAGCTGCTATTGGGTCAGATGTTCTGTTTTGATAGTTTGGTGGCATCCAAGAATCTGGCTTTCCAGACCACTGAGGAATATGGGGCATCTGTGGGGAAGGGGTCAAAAAAGTCAAGATGGCAGCTTCAATCATGTAATTGAAGCCCTGCCCCCCCCTTTTTTTACAGGTACTGCACATTTGACATGCATTAAAAAGCTGCCATCCTGACTTTTTTGCCCCTTAAGGATGCCCCTTACAAAGTACTAATATTATCACAATCCTTGGCATACCCCATAGCTTCTATCCTTCTGTTACAAGAACTAGTCATCTCTGCTCAGAATTCTGTTTCTTAGCCACGCTGTGTCTGTATTCCCACAACACGTTTAACCTGGTTCTCTAATTCACCCATTAGGCTGGGTTTCCACAGTACACTAACTGGCAAAATGGCTTGGTTCACCCTGAGCACAAAGGCATTTAAAAAAAAAAAATAACCGAAGTGTGCACGTTGGGCAAATGCGGCCACCAAGTTTGCCACTGACCTGGTTCAATTGTGTTGTGTGAACCTGGCTTTTAAGAGTTGAAGTCCACGCGTCTTAAAGTTCCCAAGGTTGAGAAACACTGCATTACCACCTTAAGCCAGGCAGACAAGAAGCAATTCCTGTGCCTTAATAAGATGCCCTGTTTGTACCATGGTAGGACAAGAAATAGGTTTCCTACCACAGTTTGAGCCACAAAAGATGGCTGGTAGGGGCAGAAAGGAGGAGGGGGAGAAGCAGAAGCAGAAGCAGAAGCAGAAGCAACACAAAGGCTTCTTTCGGTCCAGACCAACTCCTGGCGTTCCACAGCCTGGGATTTCCTGCTAGTCTCCCATCCATGTCAGAATCAAGCCTATCCCTGTTCAGCTTTCTTGTTGAGCTACATGCTGCTCTTTTCCATAAACAGCAGGGTGTTTGTGAAAAAACTGTCTTGGCATTGCCTTATTCCAGGAGATTTTTTTCAACTTCTCAGGCCAACCCACCTGGGAGCCCACAGGGCTGTGGATTGAGGTGACCAGGTGTCATGCTGCTCAGCTTTTCCAAGATTTCCCACCTGGTTGCACAGGAACACCAAGTCCCCCCCAGGTAGGGTGATGCCCATGGACAGAGATGCCCAGTCTTAGCACTAGGCATCCACTGGGTAGTGTTTTTCAACCTGGGCGCCTTGAAGATGGGTGGACTG